AGTTTCCGATTATTGATTTACAATTAATTTTGATTTATTCTACAACTTATAACAATCGTTTATCAAGTGTTCTTTTTTCTTGCAATAATTACAGAATTTGAAGTTTGACTTTGACTTGCCCCTTAAACAGCCATCGTCAACAATGAGGTCATCTCCATGACCCTCAGATGCTATAAGACGCTTCCTCTTCTCCTTTGAATATAGAGTTTCATAGACTTCTTCAATGGCAAGAGTATCATGACTATACAAAATCGTATATCTAAAAGACATGTATGATGTAGACAATGAACACAATAAAATCAATCTCAAAGCTTCTTCATCATATTTGACCTACAAGATCTCCAAATCAGCCATGATTTTCTTAAAATCGATTAGGTGATTCTCAAGAGATGTACATTTTGCCATACCATGAGAATATAGACGTTGCTTTAGATGCAATTTGCTAGTAAGACTCTTCGTCATGCAAAATTGTTCCAATTTTAACCATAATGCAGGGTTGACTTCTCATTCAAAACGTCTTCGAGAATATTGTTTGAAAAATGAAGATGTATTTGAGATAGGGCATTTCGATCCCCCCATTGTTTTTCCTCCAAAGTTGAAGTTTGGACACTTGTCAAATCCCAAGAACGCTTTGTCCAAATTCATCTGAGCGAGTACTGCTTGCATCTGCACATGTCACAAAGAAAATCTTGTATTGCAATCTAATAGCGGAATACCATACTTCCTTGTTGCCATCACAAAATATCTAGACCAAAAATTTCAACACGAAAAGCTCTGATACGAGTTTGTTGTGAAAAACAGAGATGATATCGGATTAATTCAATACCAAATTGTTGGAGAAAATAAGAGATTATAACCACAATATGAAGTAATTGATCACAATAATACAAAAATAAAATAATTTTGCAGAAAGTGGAGATTTTATTATAATATGGTAAATGAATACAAAGATTTGTGTTTACAATATTTCTAGTTTCTTACTAAATCATAATGAAGAGTCAACTAATATATAGGGAACAAATAGGGGACGTTCAAACCATACTAGTAGAGTTGTAGTAGAATGCAAGAAAACTCGTCAAAATGCGGAAAATAGGCACGAGCTGAATAACACCGCCGTTCGAGCGACGGCTAGTGGAACCCTGTCGCTCAAGCGGTAGGCTAGCGCCAGGTGAGGGAATGCGGTGAGAAAACCCCCCGGTCCATAATTTCAACATCTTCAAGTCTAACACAAATTTTAATTTCCAATAGGTTTTCAAATATGACTTCAACTAGAATTTGACAAGCAAACTTGAATAGAATTCCACAATAGCATTACAAATAGAGTTCATCTTAACGTGCACTTTAATTAGAACTTTTAATTACCTTCAACAAAAAATTTGGATCACACCCAAATTCTAACAGTTGTTAATGTAGATTATGAATTTTTTGGATGAACGTTGTACATATTTTTGCTAAAATTAGTTACTAGAATCGTCAATGTTATTTTACTGTTTTAATTTATCCATATTCATCATTTTGTTTTTAATTAATAGCTGAAAATGTTGATTAGTATTTAAGCTTGGTGATTAGAACTGATTTAGGGAGATCAAACATCAAGATATTTAGGCTTTAATATGGATGAATATTGTTGACCTCGAAAAATGGCTCGGACACGTGGCCAACAGGATAGGTCTTCAAGTAAGCTCTTCCTGCACACGTACCACCCCCTTAGTCACTCGTGGCCTCTCCCCGAGGGGG